AACCTTGGCTTCAACAATTCTCGCTCATATAAACCCTCTTCTTTCTCACTAATTAGACTCCCAGTGCTCCACCAGGGGCCCAGACGTGGATGTCTGCCTTCAGATTGTCAATGAGATATAACTATCTTATCTAGCTTCAGTGTTATATCATAATAGTTATTAATTTAGACAAATTTAAATCAATACTGTGACTTGGGCTACTATTATACATGATTAGTCATAACCAAATAAAATTGTTCAGCAGTCCACAAAACTTATAACAGTTTTTAATCACTCTCAATATTGTGATAACACCATTTACATCAATCGACAAGCCATTTGGGAACCATGTATGATACCATTCCCATTTCTTCTTCCTTTTCCCTGGAACAGATCATATCAAACATCACACACACTTCTACACATCAGAGTCTACTTCACACCACTCTCTATTAAATTTCTGCTTTCAATTGTGTGATTGTATCTTTGCTTTACACAGATCTGTTTTGTATTCCAAAGGGAGAAACCTTTCTTGTTAAATAGCAAATTGTATCTTTTAAGTTTGCATATTTGGTGTTCTAAACAATAGTCTTATCTGATGAATGGTTTGTGAACCAGATGAGAACTTAATATACACTTGGGTAGGTGGTGAGTTCTGTATCCCTACAATCATGATACGTACATACATACATACATACATATATACATGCATACATATACTTCCTCACTATTTATCATTGTTTATAGTCAAATTCATATGAAAAGTGAAAAGAAGAAATGGAATTAGTGTAAGTAAGCTTCCTTAACCAAGCCACAAAAACGTTAATGTAAAATTTTAACACCAAATGTTAATGTGCTACTCAGATCACATCTTCTTTGTTTTCTTCCTCTAACTCCTTGAATTTAAGCATGTCTAGACTAGAATAGTGTTTGAAAATGTTGTATATTTTTAGAAGATTTGCTTTGTCACATTAGAAATTTATTAATACTTGGTAATCAGTAAATAGTATATGAGCCAAATCATTTTCATAAACACATCCAATCTCAGATATTTATCTGCTTTGTTTGGTGAGTTTTGTAGTATTTTGACAAACCCAAGTAGTCTGCTAAACAAAAGAGGTATTCTGACCGTTTTAAAAATAAGTTTGTCCACTCTTGTATTAAATACAATAACAAATGCATACTCACCTAAGGATATCTCTAAAGCGTCACAGATAGAGAGTAGAACATAGGGACACAATGCCCTAGAAATACTAAAAAAAATTCTTAGAAATCTGCTGCTGGACTAGTTTTATGAACTACCTGAAGTTTATAGGATGCCTTAATGAATTTAAGGCATTAAATTTAATCCATAATTTAATTCATGGCTCAGGTAAAATTTTAATGCTATGCAGAAAATGAAATAAAAATATGTATATAGTAGAAAAATGAAGCTTCTTCACAAGCACACAGCTCAAGAGTTGTCAAAGTATTTTCATTATTTGCAAAGCTGTATTTTGTTGATTATCTTACAACTTGTTTTTAGAAACATGTATGCAGATCATTAAAACATTACACTGATGCTAAGTACAGGGTTTTGTTTGAAGGGGTGGAATCTGGATACATTTTAGGCAACAGATAATTATTTGACTCACTTCTAAAATGGAATGGCATTGGGTCTCTAGTGGGTTCCTATGGAAAGGAACATTACATGCATACCAGGGCAATGCATTTGTGTCAGTTTAAATAAGAATGGTCCCATAAGCTCATGTAGTTGAATGCTGATTCCTCAGAGTGGTACTACTTAAGAAGGACTAGGTAGGGTGGCCTTGTTGGAGTAGGTGTTCCCTTATTATAAGAAGTGTGTCACTGCAGTTAGACTCTGAGGTTTCAAAGGCCCAAACCAGACCCAATGTCTTTTCTTTTCCTGTTGCCTATGGATCCACAAGTAGCACTCCCAGCTACTTCTCCAGCACATGCTTGCGAGCATGACATCGTGTTCCCTACCCTGATGAGAATGGATTGAACCCCTGAAAATGTAAGCCAGGCCCAGTTAAACACTTTCTTTCATAAGACTTGCTGTGGTCATGGTGTCCATCCTCAGCAATGGAAAAACAGACTAAGACAACATTGGACAAATTCATTGTTATATAGAGAATGTCATCTATATCCCTCCCCCTCAGAAGGATAGACTTTAAGATGTTTAGCAAACAAGTTACTCCAAAATCCACCCATTATTATCCTCATATTGAAGTGTGTACCTACATGAAGTTACTAGAATAGCTTGGCTATGAATATAATTATGTACAATGTCATATGAGTCCTTCCAAATAGGAAAATAGGGTTAATTCTGAGGAATTTTAAGAAAAAGAATTATTTTTATTGATTTATTTAGATCTTTTTGAGACAAGATCTTTCTAAACAGCCAAGTTTGACTTTGAATTTGAGATCCCACTCTCTCTACTTTGTGAGCTGGGATAACAGATGTGTGCTATTGAGTTTGCTTTGGCAGGGTGTGTTTCAGTTGTATAAGCACAAGGCAGAGATACAAAGAGGGAATATCGTACATGCTGTTGGATAATGGATCTTCTGACTTCTTACTAGAACTGTGTTGTTTCAATAAATAGCACAGAAAAGAAGTGAGTCATTGGAGTTCATATAACAGCAGGAATATGATGTCATAAGGCATACTACATCAGAAGTGAAATAGGTCATATAAATGGTAGGTATTGAACAATTAATGTATGTTCTATTAGAACTAAGATGTTCTTAAATTTCAAATCAAGGAACCAAGGACACAAAGAATAATTCTAACATCATAATGGTCTTTATGAGAAAAGATTTATTTTAATATCTTTAGTATCATAAGTCAGAATCTTGCATATCCATAAGTCAGAATGTCAGGTAGACATTACACATCTGGAAAAAAGTTTGCAATTTTAGGCAATTATTGCAATTAAAGTCATGAAGAAATAGATTAAAAAATCATTCATACTGTGACTAGAATAGAGAATAAATCTCTTAAAGTTACATCTGGTTAACCTTTACACAGATTCTAAGATATTTTCTATTATTCACACACGATTAAAAATATATATTATCTAAAATATGAAAACACAATCTGTAATGCACAAGCAATAGTTATGAGTTTTTAAGTGTTTAATTTTCTGTTGGTCACATTTCTGTTGATCATACCCACCATATGATATGCAACCTATGAAGGTAATATATTGTAGTTAATGTGATTATTGAAAACAACTCAAAGGAAAGTGACCATTAATATTGAGAGTATTTTAAGAGAAATCTTTTCCTGATACAAAATTTATATTTTCTTTTGAAACTTCCTAGACTACTAACCTCTGACCTTCATGGAGTATAGTTTCATCATCTGTTGCCAGTAGGTCAACTTAGAGAACCTAAATGTGTTAAGACTAATGTCAAATAAATCATGTTTCTACCACTTTTATCACCAACTGCTCAATAAGTTCACTTATTAAAATTCACATAGCAGACATAATCTAAGAATATGATCATTAGACTATACTTACAACACTCAGATATTTTAATCACACATTCAGGATAGCAAGATATCAGGAGACATAAAAATATGCATAATTCCAAGATTACTAGTGACAGATCATGGGTATCTTCTTTTTCTGCCAGATTCAATATATCAATATATGAGGTGTTAGCCACAACTCACTAGCAAAAAAAAAAAGACTAGAAGACTCTCTCAGCCACAGACATTTGTATTATATACTAGTTAGAAATTAACCTTTTTGGGGGGAACTGAATTTTATTGTGATAGGTAACTAGTGTGACCTGTTGAGTAAGGAGAACTGCATTCTCCAGTTAATCAAACAATTTCTTAGTTGCATCTGTGAATAAAACTTATATTACAAGTGAAACATCTGTCTTGGTTTGGGTTGATTTAAGGTTCTGGTGAGGAACTGCTAGCTTCTTACTTTAGTCTCTTAGTGTAACACTTATGGAGTAGAGAGGACAAGGGAATCCCTGGTTTATTTCATACAGGCACTAACACAATTCATCAAGGCTCTACAATCATGGGCTAATTATTCCTCAAAAATATTCTGAATACCTATAGCTCATTTAACATCATCACCCCAATGTAGAATGGATTTTATCTCATGAAATTGGAGAGAATCACTTATTCTGTTGTATCTCATAATCAAATTAATTTAAATTAAGTCTTTGTTTTGAATTGTTGGTTAATTCATCAGAAAATGAGAACATTTTGGGTTCTACTTACTTAATTTATTTCAAGTCCTTAATTTAGATTTTTTATTTTATTTTATTCATTTTATTTTACAATACCATTCAGTTCTACATATCAGCCACGGGTTCCCCTATTCTCCCCCCTCCCACCCCCTCCACTTACCCCCAGCATACCCCCCATTCCCACCTCCTCCAGGGCAAACCCTCCCCGGAGGACTGCAATCAACCTGGTAGACTCAGTCCAGGCAGGTCCAGTCCCTTCCTCCCAGACTGAGCCAAGTGTCCCTGCATAAGCTCCAGGTTTCAAACAGCCAACTCATGCACAGAACACAGGACTTGGTCTCACTGCCTAG